AGGGGACAGGTCCCCCGCTACCCACGCCCACCCTGCGCAGAAGGCTCCCGCGCAGTGAGAGGCGGAGAAGATTGGGTGTCAAACAACTCTTATGTTGGAAGAGATTCAAGAAACGCCCACTGACGGATTCTGCTAGTGACTGAGACAGTCATGATCAGAAAGGGCTGTGCAGTCAGAAAGGTTTAACAAGGCAAATTAGCCTAGAGAGGCACCAGTTTACGCACGAGTAACTCATACTCATTACAACTACAGTGCAAATATAACTATTACATCACTACAGCAGCAATGGATACAATTCTGAAAAAACCAAATATTCATTGACACACACTGTTTTATCTTAGAAATCTAGCCTGAATTATTTTTGCTTGAATTTTCCTTAAGGCTTCTTTCACCTCTTTATTTCGCAGGCTATAGATCAGGGGATTGACCATTGGAGTCAAGACAGTGTAAAAGGCAGAGAAAACTTTGTTCAAATCTCCCAGCAACTGAGTGTCAGGCAGCATGTATACAATCATCAAGGTGCCATAGAAAATGGTGACCACAATGAGATGGGATGAGCAGGTAGAGAAAGCCTTTTTCCTTCCTGCGGAAGAAGGGATTCTCAAGACAGTGGCTATGATGCAAGCATAAGATGTCACCGTCAGAAAAAAGGGAGGCAGTGTGAAAATGCAAGCGATCATGAAAGCAACAATTATGATTTTGTGAGTATCACTGCAAGCCAATTTTAGCAAGGGGTTGAAGTCACAAAAGAAATGATCTATTTCGTTTGCCCCACAGAATGTCAACTGCAACAAAGGAAATAATATAGTATTTCCTAGAAAGCCACTTATCCAGGACCCAATCATTAAACAGAGGCAATCCCTGTTGCTCATAAGGGTTGTGTAGTGCAAAGGTTTGCATATGGCCAAATATCGATCATATGACATGGCAGATAAGAGGAAACATTCTGTTGCAGCTAGTGAACCAAAGAAGTACATCTGTAAAAAACAGCCATTGAAAGAAATTGATCTGTTTCCAGTCACAAAACTGGCCAGCATTCTGGGCAAGATTGTTGAGCTGTAGCAAGTCTCCAAGCATGACAGATTCCCTAGGAAGTAGTACATTGGTGTGTGCAGATGCTGATCAGCCATGACAAGTGTAACAATGAGGATGTTTCCAACCATGGTGATAATGTAGATTATCAGGACCATCAGAAAGAGC